TCTAAGCCAAGTGCTGAGCAGCCTCCTGCGTCCACAGCCCTCTTYTATTTACTCCCATTCCTACTCTTCACATAAAAGCACCTTCTTCTTTCAAACTGTTGTTGTTCTGGGTTTTGAGTTGTTTGCTTTTGCTCTTTTCCCCCCCACAACACATGCTAGTTTTAAGATGCCTTTAAAGAAAATTCCCTACAGAAACACACATTAAATTTCTTTCCAGCTCCTGCTCCTCTCTGTAGCAGGAGCATGTTGTCATACACCAGATGGAGCTAAATAAAAATACCACAGGAGCTCGCGAGCAGACTGATGTGATAGATATATAATAATTAGGATGTGCCGTAGAGGCATTAAGGCTGCAAATCTGAAATATCTATTATATATTCTCTATTTCGCGGTCTGTAGCGTTTTTCAGAGCACGCTGACAACTAGCAGCATCAGTGCTCAAACACCCCTCGCTAGGGCACATACAGGCAGCGAGGCTGGTGTCATTCACGCCAGGTTATATGTTGTCAGATGCTTAAATACTGTGTGCGTTAGATACAGGAATGTAAAGACTTGAGGGATGTGCCAGGGAGGGCAGAAGGAGCAGGACTGCTTCCCCATGCAGCTGCTTTCTGTCCTGCAGCAATAACCGCGCTCTGGCGTCCACAAGATGCAGCCCAGCGCTGTGCACTCTGAAACCTATCRATGGCTCTTGGCATGCAATCGAGTAAGGCTACTGCGGAGCAAACGCTGCAGCTGTGGTTTTGTGGTGAGGCATACTTGTCCCATGCATCATCCCATGCACGGGATGAGCACGGGATGAGCTTGGGGCCCAAGGCAGCGGCTTTGCCTGCCCCGAGCGGGGCTGCAGCACGCAGGGAGCTGGCTGCATGGATGCAGAGCTGCATGGATGCACAGCTGCAKGGCTGCACGACTCCCTGCAGCAGGGAAGCAGGGCGGCCGTGTGGGCATCGGCCCCACGCTGCTCCAGCCACCTCTGGCACCGGGAAAGAGGCGGCCGGTCACACACACGCTGAGACCAAGGGGGAAAAGCACCAAGGGAAGCTAGAGAGGAAGCTGCATCACAGCTACAGGTTTTATGGAGTCTGGGGATACATTAGGTAGGATAAAAGTTATATCAGGGAAATATTATAGGTTTTTATGGGTATAACCTTGCAGTGGCAGAATGAGAGCCTGGGAGCAAGGAAGAAACTCTGCCAGGGGTGAGACAGCCCAGCTGCTACTTAGGGGTGTTGCAGGCTGCTCTACACATTTTTGCCAAAACCCTCAAGTTTCCACATTTCTAAATTAAAAAAGAAGTATATATATACACATATACATATATATATATATATATATAAAGTCATTTTGCCTGGTTGTTGTACCCTAAACCTCACTGCCCCAGGCCCTGCACCAGGGTTTCATTCACAACAGCAACTCCAGGCACTGACTCACTACACAGACCCAGCCCCTCCCTGCGTCAAAGCCTGCTGCAGCACACGGGGCTGCCCTGATTTTAATTATTTCAATTATTTTTCCCTATCTCTGGATCCATCCTCTCTCCCTCTTGCCGTTCTCTCTTCTTTAACACCCAACAAATGAATAATCCCCACTTTGTGTTAAGGAGAGGAGCAGCAGCGGGGCGATGCTGCAGCGCGAGGGGCTGCCCAGCCTGAGCCACGAGCACCATCTGCTGCCCATAGAGCCCCGAGCCTCCCTCCCCGGCGCTTTTGAGGGGATTTATGGTTATTTTCTTACCTTTYGGGGGGGATTGATGGTTATTTACTTACCTTTGAGGTCTGCGGGGGTAGTGGGGTGGCCCACTGGTCTGTCCTGCAGCCCTTGGACATGGGRTCTGGGTTTGGGCAGTGCTTTAATCAGGACCACTGAAGTGTTCACATTAAAAATAAGCATAAGTTTAGGGAAAATGTAGCCCCAGCATTTGGGAATAAAGAGTAAGGATGAAAAAACAACTGTAAAAATGAAACACACCCAGACTTGCCCCTGCTCTGCATCACTGTCAAAGCAAAGAGTCTTTTTTAAAGGCACTTACTATCTCTCAAATTCCTCCGTCATGACTGACCCAGCCCCTCAGCCGCACCTCTTGCCCACGTTCCGAGGACGCTGAACCTGTTTCTGTGCAGTTTGGCCCTTTACTCCACTTCGGGCGCAGCGCAGAGCCTGGCTGCTGCACAGGGACACGTGAGAGGCACCGTCGCTGCGTCTGCTGCCCTTGAGGAGGCTGAACCCGAACAGCTTTGCACCCGTCCCGGGGGAAATCAGGCACRTTGTTCTTCACGCCCCAACCTGCAATAACCGGGCAGTGCTCCAATGTGCTCGTCTGGAATGAGACCACCAAATGCATCACAAGGAAGTCGAAAATGCAACTTTTCCTGGCAACTGAATTCTGACATTGGTTTGAACGGCACCTAGGTGCTGGAGTAAAACCATGTAAGTGCTTTAATAATGCACAGATATTGTGAAAGCAGGATGTGTCCCGTGTTTGTTCCTTGCCCCACGCACTGCTCGCGGGTCCCTCGGCTTCGGAGCAGGGCAGCGCGCGGGAGAGGCCGGGCTCCGTGCGGGAGAGCAGGACCAGCCCCAGGACGGCAGCTCTGCGGCTGCACGGAGCGGGCCGGCTGCCGCGGAACACGAGCAAACCCCTCCGGGACCTCGGAAACACACGGACGGCCACCTAACTCCCAAAATAAGCACGAAAACTTGTTAAACAGCTCAAAAYGCCTACGTAGGGTGCTGCTTGCACAACGTCTTCAAAAGAGAAAGGCAAAGATGAGGATCAATCTACAGCATCTCACCACTCTTCTCTCCATCTATTTGCTTTAAAAGCTTCCTTTGCCCAAGTCCTGACGTGCAGAAATCCTCGCACGAGCTCCGGGACTCTTCGCAGAGGGGATCCCCTCAGCTCACACACACTGGTCTCCGGGCTTGTGTTCCTACAGGGAACCTCGTAGGAGGTTTTCCTGGGAAAACCTGCACTGAAGCTGCACCAGCAACTGGGCAGCCACTCAAGATCTGTCCATCCTACCTCGCTTACCCCACGGCGTTAACATCTTCTCTGTAGATCAGTGAAGAACTGGAAGCAAAGAGTTACGATGATCATCGCACTACTTTATACTTTTAAAAATCATATAGCATTATTTGTAATTTAGACAATCTCAAATAAGGGGAAAGCTGCTTTGGGGGTCAAATTAAAGTCTCCAATAAATTCCTATTGCGAATTGAACAGCATTTATCAGAATATCCCTGCATGCAACTCAATTTATATTTCAATAGGTGCCCKGAGAACAAACCTACTTAACTATATAGCCATAAAAAATGAAAAAACAGGTTGAATTCAGAGTGCCTTATTATACCCTAATTGCCCTGCTTAATTTTTGCACTAGAAGAAGAAAGGCACCACAGTTCAGCACCGYTACAGCTACACACCAGCTAATCAAGTGCATTAATAGGGAGCCACCGAGACCATAATCTGCTGCTATAAAACGGGGTGYGAGGGGCAAACACCCCTGATGCAACAGGGTGGAAGCGAGATGAGAGAAAAGGGAAGCGCCGTGTACTGCAAGAGCAGCGTTGGAGCCACCAGCAGCAACCAGTTGAGKGTTGAGCTCAGTCGGACGCTCTGTGAACCTTGGTGAGGGGCCACCAGCTCTCCAGACTAAGACAGCAGGGACTTTAAGAGCTGGAAAGCGCTGAGCATGCACATAAATAGATGTTACTGAGAAGAAAAACAAGTTACACTCTTGCAGATCTTTCCCTTCTAATTTCATTGGTTTATGTCGCCTATTTCTAAGCTCCTATTTCTATTCAACATGGAAATGCACAGTATATCACAAAATAACTTGTATTTCCTCAAACATTTCTTACCTCCAACTTATTCGATGTAGCAGCTGAAGGTTTGTGTCTTCTTGACATCTGCACGGCTGCTGCAGACACTGTGCTTGCTCGCTGAACGGTCAACAATGCTTTAACATTTACAATAGACATTTTWATAATTAAGGACTTTGACAATCCTTTGGCAAACGCCAAAGTTGCTTCTTTCCACRTARTAACACTGCATAAACATCTGCAATGGTTTAGAGCTTATAAACAACTAAAACATCCAAATAAGGGTGGACGATGATGTCAGGCGAGTCCCCACTCCAGAAGCCAGCSCATTTTTCAGCAAGACCGGAGTCCTCCTGCTGCTCAAGTCATTGCAGGCCCCGTGCCACTCACGAGCAGGGTGCTCTGCGCAGCAGCCTGCAGGCAGAACTGTCTGTATGCAAGAAATAGTGTTCAGATTCATGGGATTTTCCCCTATATCCAACAGCAGGGTCAGGACCTTGCAATTGTGATTTATTTTTTTCTAAATCTATGATGCAGAGAAAAAAAAAACACCTAAATAATCAATACAAAGTGTGAGAAATTCACTTTTTCTGATACTCATGTTCAGAGTAAAAAAATGTGCTCCTGGTTGCATTTTTTAAGTGGKGCTCCAAATTGTGATTTATGTCATACTTTCTACTCAAACCATTGCTCTTAACTGTGTTTGAGGGACTAGCCTTGCTCTCTGTAAACCTATTTCATTAAACCTTTACCAGACCAAAACAAAATGCTTCTATCAACTCTTAGAGGAAGTTTCCCTGCTTRAAAGCAAACGAAAAACCCACCATTCCTTCATCTTTGTCCAAGATCCCCAAGATAATAATGAAGCTTCAAGACTCAACGTTGCACATCTCCAAAACACTGACAAAACTATACAAAAGAAATAAAAYGCATCTTTAGGAAACAGCATCCCCTCAAACAGGCTAGTCATTTACTGTACCAAGAAAAATAAATCCAAGAGGAGAAAAGATTCAGAGAGAAAAATACATTAGCAAATACAGATAAATTTGTTTTTAATAAAGGAGTTAATTTTCTTTCAATCCTATATAAAACAATAGCAATTAAAAACTTCATTTTTGAAAGTAAAATATTTACATATGAACAAGTAACTGTGCAAAATTTACATGAAAAAAAATGGAAAGACAGGATTTCCTAAAAGACAAAATAAAAGGGGTGTAACAGTTGTCAGGTGTTGATAAAAATACTGATCAGCATTCAGTTTACACGCAAGAGAGTTAAATTCTACCATGAGAGTTCACACAAAGAAAGCCAAAGTATTTACAGTCATAAAAGTACTATCAATAGACAATTTAATACAATAACCTCTGAAAATATAAAGAACCAATTAGTATATTTGTAATAAAAAAATAGGTACAAAGAAGGGACTTTGCTCTGGACATCTTTAAAGTAGGCCCACAGCTTGCATACAGTCTTTTAGCAAAATAATTATAGTTTACATAGCCATTTTTATGTTATGTGCCAAAAATTATGTACAATTACTGACAAAATACACCAACCATTTTCAACACTTGATTCACACTGAGAAACAGTCTTTTGATGATTCCTCTCAACTTTGATTTTATTTAATCTAAGCTTTCACTTTAGCTAAAAAACACAGTGCAAGTAAAATATATTTATGCTGAAAAGGTTTCTCTTTTTTTCCTTTTTTTCCTTTTTTAACTTTACAGCTTTACAAACTATAGCAAATAAAATGCATTTTTACAGATGCTGCTAAAACATTCAGAAGTAACCCTCCTTTATGGGATTTCAGGGCCTCTAATAAGCAATAATGTGATTAAAATTGAGGTTATGTTTAAAATTAACTGTATATCCCTCTAGCTTTTTGAACATTTGGGGGGAAAAGATAAATATTCTTAAAAATCAGTTTGCTTTGCTAACTGACTGTTTAAAAAAAGCTAAATGAAATGAGGTCATCTGCTGTAGACATATGCCTATATAATTGATTTAGTTGARTAAAACTGAACTAAAATGCACAATTAATGTCGAAACTGCTACAGGGCTGACAAAGGGTAGCTAGTTATTTGCTAAACGATTCCATCAGTCTTTATATATGGCTTGTTTGGCAAGAAGGCCACTCAATCAAGAGATGAGTTAAAATTTAATTGTCCTTTTATAGTATCCACAGGCCTTGTAAGTATCCTCACTGTTACAGAAATGTATTTCTCTTATACTGAAGAGTTTATTTATAAACAGGAATATAAAACTGTTCCATGTAAAGAGGTGGTTGTTTTTTTAAACAATATCCCATTTGCTTGTTACAAAAAGGCGTAATCTGCAAATATATAAAAAAAAGTCCTCAGGCGGCTCTCCATCAAAAATACCTTGATCTTTTCCATTTTACTTAAGGAATGCTTTATATAGCAATAGTGAATGGCTTGTCTCTCGCTCATTTTCTAAACAAAATATGAGGTCCCTGAGGTTCACCCGCGTTATCCTTTGTCGCGTAAACTGTCTGGTTGTTCCGACTCCGGAGCTGCCTGGGACTGCTGCACTTGAACCAGATCCCTGGAAAGGAGAAGAGCAGGAAAATCAGAACACGTCAGTGGTCACAGGTAAAATTTCTTAGAGAAAACACGTAAGGCAAGGAATAACTGATCATGGACACGAAACTATTAAGCAGTTGAACAGCTGACCAAATCAGAGGTATTTTTAACTAGTATTTATAAATACGAGYTGAATAATCAAAAGTTTCCAGTGAGATTTAATAGAGATATATTCAAAATTAAAAAGCACTGATCTTTTCTTCAAGAAGGCACTACTGACATGSAATCCCACCAATCAAACCAAAGCCACAGGCAGGATTCTCAGTGCTCTTCACCAGGTTGGCACACGGATCCCCTGGGTGGCCTCTGGAATCCTTGAKGAGGTGAGGAACAGCCCTATCTACCTGAGATCTTAAATAGTGGCTTAGCTCCCCCCTGATCTTCATGGCAGGGTGCCACCAGCTCTACCTTCTGGTGGCACCRGCTGCAGCCAAGCTCAGGGTTATATTAGGAAGCAGCTGTTCTGGACACTCTTCAGATATTCGCTAACAACCTCTGAATTCCTCTCTTTCAGCACCACGTTCCCCACGGTACTTGGCCACGCAGACTTGCGAGAGAAGGCAGCAGCACGATGTTCTTTGCCACTTGCAGGAGCAGCAGGACAGATGTTGGGATTTCTTCGGGGGTCTCTGCATCCCTTCTGCAACTGTATGCTGGATGATCACTGAGTTTGCAGAGCAGCGCTGCTCAGTTTTAACATTTGCAGAACAAAAGACAGTTCCGATGGGATGTGTATTAAAATAGTTCTTATTATAGCTGTTAAGTTTTTACACAAGCAACGAGATCTCAGAGCACTCTGAAGACATCAGCCACCCGCAGAGGAAGGAATATCACCCAGTAACACAGGGCCTCTTTCCACGAGGATGAGGCTTTGACCACTGCCTGAGTCCTCTAGAAACATAGATTTGATGCCAGAAGGACCCTGTGCAGGATGCAGAGCTGGAGACAAGCACACGTGGGAATAAAAATRCAGTTGGGAGGCAGCGTCCGGCTCCTCCTGACAGCAGGGTGGGAGCAGTACAGCACAGTCACCAGTAGATGGCAAGAAAAGACCGAAAAGTCTCCTCACAGCCCAATTTTAAGAGTCTGGGATATTTCTGGCAGTTCCCTCTTCCACGTGCGTATCGTGGGGTCACAATGTGGATTAGAGACTTACGTATGGATTGCACCACACTCATATCCTCTGCATGTTGAAGTAAAATATTTATGATCAGTGCACTTTACTGTTTGCAGAGTTGTTGGAAATTMGCATCTCCTGGCTAGTGCCACACTACACTCAGTGCAGCTTCTCTGCTTCAACACAGCTCTAATAATAAAGTCAGACTGTTGTTTCTCAAGGAAAATGTCCACTGAAGCAGAAAACATCAAATCATTAAAGTCTTGTAGTTAGGAGACCTGTTTTCAATGGGGCATTTTWAAACACTTGTACAAATTAGATGCCTAATTTCCATCAATTTCAAAGGATGCAGGATAACATAGGATGCTAATTAAATTTTGTCAAATACTTGCCAATTAACGAGACTACAGAAAGAATGCYTTTTTCAACGTGCAGGAAAAAATATATTAGTAGAGTTTCAGTAGAATATCAGGCCTGGTTTAATAGGCCRTAATATTTTGAACTCAAAGATAAAGTTTCAAATACCTTTTAAAGGGACACTACTATCCCACTCCTGTAGCACAGAAGGAGTCACGATGCTTTTTGCTAACTTTCAATTAACCCTTGGGAATATAAAATTCTAAAACAGACAGCAAGCTTTTTTTTGAATTTTGAAACAGTTACTATTTAGAGGCGATTTTACATGAAATAAAGATTTGGTATTCCTAGGCATCAAAAGCTTACATTTACAAAACTGTGTCTAAGTAGTGACAAACCTTATTTTCCACACTTCTTGTAATATGCCTTAACTACAAACTGCATACAAATGGTGACAAGTGGAGCTCAATTTAAAAATGTCAAGTGACACAGTTGCAAAAGCACAGCTGCGAGTCTATCAGATCAAAAGCAGCTGCTTCTTAATTAAAGAACCAAAAAGATTAGATTTCCAGGGAACCTGTAGTTAATTGGTTAACCAGTGATTAATCTAGGCTAAGTAAATGAGTCAGATTTAGATGAAATACAAACAAGCATTCACAGTAGATGTAAAATAAAATTCCATAGTCCATAATGTCACTTAGGTTATTAGGGTTACACAGTTGGGCACGAGTAAGGAGGAGTCAATGCCATTGCATGAGACACTAACAGCCTTCAGAGATCATATCATTTGTATAAGTTTATCTTTTTACTAATATATCACTCTGCATGTTTTATCTTTTAAACTACACTTATAAACCAGCCTTTCAAAAAATAACTTGTATAAATAAAAGACTTACTCTTCCCAATAAAAACATCTTCGTGGCCTTCAAAACTCAAGATTAAAGATGACCAGGAGGCTTGAATTTCTTTCTTAGATGTAAGATTTACTACTATTAGGATTTTTAAACATTTCTAATCAAGCACAGGGAAATTATTCCTCCCAGTAACTCAATATTAAAAAAATACTAAGTAGTAAAATCTAGGATGTTCAGAAAGTAATAAACGGTTATAGAACTATTGTTGTCAGACAACAAAACTTTACAGTGAAGAAAACTCAGGCTATGGAAGGAGGTTTTAAGCCTTCTTAATGACAATCTGYTAAATGATTTTCCTCTTTCTAAGCATTAGAAAACCCTGCATTTTCACTATCTTCCACATGGAAAGCAATTTGATGCCCTTTACTAAATGGTTTACAAACACAGCAGATAGGCTASCATTCAACCTGAATTTAAATGAACATTAAACTAAATAAAAAATGAGCATATTGATAATAAAGCCAGCAGAGACATTTTTAATTCTTAGAGGCCTGGCTTGACTGATATGGAGAATAAAGGATATACAAGAACATTAAATTTAAACTGAATTAGTCAAAAGGATTGTTGCAGATGTGCAAAACAGCTACGGCAATCTCCTCCAAAACTACAGAAGTTCAGAAAAACGAGAAGTTTGAYAGAGGTGCGATCGCTTCCTAACGTGCTTTCTAACGTGCAGTTCTATGAATACAACAAATGTATTATCCCTATGTCATGGAATTAGTGCTAAAAATCGACCCTGGTTTTGGAGCAAACAAGTTACACTTTGGAATATGTTTCTGCTTCTCAGAAGACTTCCATGAAGAAAACTCTGGATGGGAAGACTGTCACAGAGGCTGATGGAGCAAAACCACAGCACGCAAAGATGACTCCGTACCTCTGTCCCTGATCCAGAACCCGGTGAATCCACTTTCCTTTTCTTTCTGGGACCGATGGCAGCTAACGCAGTCAAGTTGGCATCCCTCTGTCTCATCTGTGCTAGCTCCTGCTGCTGCATCTGTGTTTGCCAGAACAACAACGGTTAATGATTCTTCTTTACACTTTCAAAAGAATAAGTTTATGTTAAGGTGAAAACTTACCTCCTTGGCCTTCTGTTTCAACCTAAGCTGTTCTGGATCTTCTTGTCTAGATCGAGACTATGGTGATAAAGGATGCAGGGAAGGATCAGCAGAAAAAGAAGAAAACAGTTACAAAAGTAGGTAAAGATGATACATTTAGCATAACTTTTATGCCAAACTCTATTGCCTAATAGTATTAGCACACATTTTCCAATTAAAATGTTTTTCTCCTTCTTGGTTTCTCATTTCTGAGTTAAGCAATAAAGAAAACAGGAGGAACTGAAAGACAGTTTTTATCCATATTCTTACATAACAGAAGACTAATCATAATCAAAAAAGCTGACTTTTTTCTCATCCATACCTCAGACATGCAAAATAAATGACCACCTAATTGAGTGATGAAGTACCCTTTAAAAGTTAAGGTGCACTTCTGTCTGCTGCACTCCTTCAGGCATTACATGAGTGCAGGTTACCTTACAGAGTAAGGTAATAAAGACTCAGGTCTATGTCTCATTATTCTCTCTTCTGAAATAAATGGATTTACCCTCTAATCTTACTTCACAGGTTACATTTTCTGGACCTCCTTAATACTTTTCCTCTTTACTGCAAATCTTTCTTGATCTGCAGGACCCAAAATTGGAAGGAGTATTCCAGCAAAGGTCTACCAGGAACTGAGTGGAATTAAGGTGTTAATTCACCTGTCTTACGTGAGAAGATTTCAGTATAAATCAGACTTTAACTTTATTAACTCATGGTGAATCCTAAATTCAATAAAAATCCAGGTTTGCTTTGTGAATAGTCTCAGTGAGAGCACCTGCCTCGTTAGTCACAGTCCACCTATATTTAGATCGCTGAGTACAATCACTAAGTCTAGTGCTTAYATATGAACTTACATCATCTGGTTTCTATTTATTGTATTTCTCCAGCTTGTCAACATTGTTCTGAATTCTATTCCTATTCTCCAAAATACTTGCAATCTTTCTATTCCATCTAAGAATATCAGTAAGTTTTAATGCATATGGATCTTTTTCACTATGAAAAGTGTAAAGAATAATTTTTAAGGCCCACTTAAAATAGAAATTGCAACAATGATAGCAAAGAAGCTATCTCACTTTGTTTACTGTGGAAAGCAAAACAAAGCTGTAGCTAAACCCCCATTCATCAAGCTCCATCTTTGAAGATCACAGAGCCCTCTTCTTTATTGCGTGTCCCTTAGAACGAAAAGGAGCTCTGTACTTTTGACGTCAAAAAGTGACACATTGCAAATTTAAGTGTGAAATCCAAGCACTTGCCTTTGCTGCACGCATTAAAATTTCCCTTTCTTGTTCATCTTTACGTTGCTTTTCTATTTGATCAAGTTGTTCAAAGAACTTGAGCTGTGCTCGAACGTCACTTGCTTGTTCGTATCTTTCATCATCCTGAAAACACAGCAAATAGGTTTCTCATTACATATCTTAAAAACAAAGCTGTTAGCTTGTACTGTAGCAGAACATATACATTTAAAGCTCAAATGTTCACTTTGTCCTTTTCAAACAAACAAGTGTATACTTAAACCAGTCAAACCAGCTAGAATTCTTAAAAGCATCTTGTTCTATTCCATGAATTCATCAATTTTTGACTTTTAAAATAATATCACAGCTTTAACCTCACAAACACACCTTAGAAGTTTTTTTCTTTTTTTTTAGCAATATTTAGAAGTTTACATCTATTAAGAACACACATCTGTCAGGCAGCAGTGGCTGGAGAATTCAAAGTGGCGCTAGTCTTGCATCCACCTCAGCAGCATTAGTAGGTACAGACTAAAAGGACATGGCCACTTGCATGAGAAATGGTGACCACTGAAGTTCCTTTAATGTTCAGGTACTTCTTCCCATACAAAGTCCTTTCATCAATGAGTTACCATCAAAACAAAACAGAAAATATTTTTCTTCTGTGTGTTGACAATGGGGGAGCAGGGACACCAAATGGTAGCAGTCTCAGTGCTAAATTTTACAGTATCTTCTCCTTGATAAGGTAGTTATATAACTGGAGTTTCATAAGCTGTGTAGCTTTTTTAGAAGGTCTGTATAGTCAAAGAATATTTCCTTTTTAAAAAAATATTAACTCTGCGTTCTATGATTCACCTTTCTCCCTTAAATCTCCTTCCAGTACCCAATGGGCCTACACAGGCTGGATTGTAGAACTAAAGGAATCCAGGGACACTGGAACACACACCAGCATGGGCAGAACGCCCACCCAGCCAGTGCTTCTGGGGTAAGTTTCTACAGGTAGGTCAGGAGGCTGTTATATGCATCATATCTTCAGCTTCACAATGGGAGATGGGATGCTGAACCTAATGATATGGAATTTAATGCTTAAGGTGTGCTGAACCAGACATCTTTTTCCTGCCTGATTGTGCAGTCACTGAACACAGTCTAAATGTTTAACATAAATTAATAAAGGGGGAGATAGAGTTCCTCTGTGTTTATTAGACCATTTTGTATGCACACACTGAAGCTTTCTAGTTATCCACTTGTATTAATACATCTTAATTTAAGATGAATCAGTCAAGGAGAATAAATGAATGAATTTTGCAAAATGAAGAACATCCAAACACAGGAATAAAGGCCAATATGAGGGCCTGATGAATGTTAATTTTTGTTCAATTACAGTTACCTTGTAAGAAATGTTCTTTTGTTGAGCCGTCTCCGATAACTTTTCCACGAGGTTTTGTAGTCTTTGCTGTGTAGCATGTGATACATAGCTAACTACATCAGGATGTATTTCTGTTATTCCGTGTTTTTTACCTATAAGCAGAATAAAAGTTAGTTGTRAAATATGATTTTATAATACAGTTAAACATCTAGCTGATTCTAAATCATGGAAATTTAAATGCTGTTTCCAAAATAAGGTTTTCATGTATTTCTTAGGCACTAAACAGGAAATGGTAGAGTGTAAAAGTTTATACTAGCTTAATAAAATTCTTACTACTGAAGGCTATATACTGCAATTTAACAAATAAATGATGTTTTTTTGCTATCACAGCAATTACAATCAGTAAATGAGATGCAATGGTTTCTGCTTTCATAAGCTGAATGACTGCCTACATGCACCAAAACATACAGAATATAAGTAGTCTGGCAGGTTTTAAAATATCCAAAATCAAGACCTTCTACTATAYCCAAGATTAATGAACATTCTGTATATTAAAGCTCAAAAAGCACCAACATACCTATTTCTAATATCCTTCTTTGTAAAGGTGCTGAGAAGAGGAAGGTTTCATCTTTACAGGACCTTGTTAACGTGCCCACTAGCTCAGAGTTTGTCGCCAATATCCGAGCACTCTCCTCTGATAGGTTGACCCCRGCCATTGATGCAACATCATTGATGTCATCGTCATCCCTTAGGAAAGGAAAACTCATTACAATCGTATCATTTAGGGCTTATGTCTACACACGCTGCTACCGTGCAACAATTGCATGTAATCAAAGTTCCGCAATAAATTGCTTAGAACAAAAAGTTTTAAATAGACATTTGTGTACTACAGGAAACAAAAGAAAGCTTGATATTTTATTTCATTTCTGCATTTCATTTTGTAATAAAAGCTAACTAACATTATTTCATTCCTAAGAACAACACTTGAAGGACTTATGCAATTTTGCTCCTCCTGTTTCTCTAAAGATTCTTTGTTCTGTAAGACTTTAATGTATTGAAAAATCAAGAAACCAAATATTGCTACTGCAAAGCAATAATAAACTGCGCTCRTCAGTGTCTACACCTCAAGACAGGCATATCAGAGCAACCTGAGCAGAGCTGGGAGGAGCAGAAGAATAAGACTGATTTGATTGTTTTACACAAGATTTGTTTGTAAGTTTGATACTTCCCCTCAGTGTCAGCTGAATGCTGAACCAGCCTGACACAAGTATATCCATAGATGTTTGTAAAAGTCTTTAACAAAATAGATCATCTGGTCAAAGAAAATCCATCCCTATTTCTTGTGGGTTTGTCTATCCTGATTYAGTGCCACTGGAATAAATGGAAAGGCTCCCACTGAGTTCAGTGGGCTGTTCAGGCCATATGAGCATGCATGAGTAGTTGTTTCCTTACCTAAAAGAGCCTCCCCCAGGCTCTTTCAGTTTATTTTTCTGAGCAGCAGCTATTTGTGCYGAAACAGAAGGAATAGTTTTGTTTCCAGGTAATACTGTTGGTTTTACCACAGGTACTGCAAGAAGAGAGAAGAGAGTTGTATTCCATGCATCAAATTCATGTCAGAGTTCACATTTACAAGCTAGCCATGAGCTGTAGTGGTAACAGGTCTGGCACAAAGACTTTTCCCATACTGTTTGTGAGCATTTCACCCATCTGAAACAGGTCCTATCCACACACACCTCCAACACAGAGACATCTTCTATGGCTGTAAATGCTACCCTAATTTTTACYGCCAGCCACTACGGTACCATACACTGAAAGGTTTAGCCATATATTATAGTAACCATCAGAAAGCTCCACAACACTTAAGAACCAACATTCAGAAAACAGACTTTAGTTAATATTACCAARACAGCAGACACCAAGTATCTTGGCTTCTTACCTGTCTGAAGCTGATTCAACTGAATTTGTGGAGAAGTAGTGAGCATAATACGACTATGCGGTTGTCGCAGTGCTACCATCGGTGTCTGCGTCAACGTCACCTGTGGAGGCCTTATCAAGGCCCCAGCTTTTTGAGACTGTTGGATAACCTGCAAATAGGTGGAAAGGTAAACAGTCTGAGACACAGCTACGAAGAGAGGGTAAGAATCAGGTGAGAAGAACAAATCCTTACAATCAGCTTTTAGATTGCTGCTATCTAATCACATCTATCCATCATTTACAATTGGCACAGTTTTTCAAGAAATTAGATACATTATATCTCACAGAAAAATTAATAGCCCTGTTGCAATGTGAAAATTAATCAATCACTTTCTATTAAAAATTCACATGTAATCAAAAAAYGCAGCTACACTTTTCTGAGACTGTTTCTACATGCAAACTTGACAAACTAGACCTGCCTGAACCAAGTGTAGAACCAGAAACAATGGAGACATGGTACAGATATCCAGGTTGTTCCAGGTGTTTTGTCTTGATCCAAAAGCAGGTTTTGAGCCACTTTGTAACTATATTATATTGGTYTTGCTAACTACTTTCAAGGTAAGTGCCAAAATACTTTTTTTAAATCTTGCATCAATAAGAGATCTCTTCTCCTCATTTTACATGAAAACTGAATACAGAAAGTCAGRTAGTAAAGTGGCAAATGTTCTAAAGGAAACATACAAGTACTAAGCAGCCAAAAAAAAAATTACCTTTATAAGTTAACCATGTATATTAATACATATACAACAAAAAGCTTACATTTATATAGTGCTTCGCTATCAAAACACAAAAAGCAGTACTATTATTATCTGGTTTTCAGCAGCTTATCTGCTAACCTGAAAAATTACATCTTTCCCAGTTTGGGTTAATTTGGTGTTAGACTTATGTAATGAGACACAGAAGATCCTTCAGGACCTTGCTTTCACATGGATATGCAGTGTTTGAGAGAATCTACCAATATTCCATGCTAAAATAAGACATAACACAACAGTTTAACCAAGAATAGACTTACTTTCTTCGTAGCTACTTTCTCTACAGCATTTAYAAATCTAACACTGAGCTAAACCACTAATTTAAGTCACTGTACTCYGAAAAAACTGCAGTAACAGAAGACACACTCCTGCTTACGTACCAGTGATGCAGACTGCCCTTGTTTGCTAACACCAACTTGTGCAGGCTGAGTTAGGCTGATTACAGGTTGTTGGAGGGTGCTCGTTACCGTTGCCGTGGCCTTCCCTGCTGTGCGCTGAACGGAGGGGCTTAGCATCACCGCCGTAAGTGCAGTTGTTGCTTGCGTTGTGGGCTGCTGCTGTTGACTTTGCTGAATAAAAGCTGCAGAGTCTGGCGTTAGCTGTCTCAAGGCAGGTAAACTCCTCTGAGGAGAGGAAAAGAAATAATTTGCTTAAGTATTTTCAGCCCAACTCATAAATGAAAACTTTAATTATAAAAGAGCGATGCATTTAATTTCCATTGCATCAGTCTGGATGCACCTCTGCTTTAGAACAGCAAGTGTTCTCAACAGGAATACCCTGCTACTTCACGTTTAAAGCCAGACTGAAGGACAGTACCTTTAGCTGCAGGAACTTGGGTATCATGGGCATCTAGGTTAGATAAACCCACCTGGAACCCTTAGTGTGTATTTAACAGTCAAAGCCCCTGCTGCCTTCCTTGATTGTGTTCTTATCTATATACCAAGCAAAAACATTTGATAACTTAAAAGACATACTGGAACACTGCTTGAAGATTTCAGAATAACAGAGACCAATGCTTTATAATAGTTTTTCTCTTGAGGTAAGAGAAAGTAACACAAATTACCTTCAGGAAAGGCACAAGGTAAGGTTGAGGTGAAGAATTAAGTTCTCGGTACAACCTACTGGTAAAGTCTTCTGCTTCAATTTTTCCATCCTTCAAAATAGAAAATTCAAATGAATGAACATTAATGTTTAACAAGACATTAACTTTCTACTTATCTGTATATATAATCTGTATATATATATATATTTTATGATAGTATGAGTTCTTTGAATGCAGTTGTAAAGTATAATTTAGGCCAACTGCAGGGAAACAAATGCTCACAGAGCCAAAGACCACATTTAACTGAGTAAAACTAAAACACTATGGATTAGTGTTAATATAGGATACAATTGTTAAGTCCTATGTCCCCATTTTTATTCCACCCTCTTCTCCCTTCCTATCAGTTTGTGTGTCAAGAAACATATACTCAAAGGATTTCATTGTCAAAAAACAGAACAAGAATGTGCTATCCATATGTCAAAGGCTAGCTAAAAGCTACAGGAATCYTTCACCTGACCTGTAAGCAACTAACTATTCAATTGCTTGAAATGGCTTTAAAGGAAAATTTACATATATTCTAATTCAGAAGTAGCCAAGTTTCAAACTGATTATCTTACATTTCATAATATTTCTCCTCTTCATTAAGAGAAACACAAAACAAAACAAAACCCACACAGCTTTGAGTCTAAATTTGCTCAGACACTTTTTCTTACCACTTTCAATGAATTTTTCTTACCAGCAGGTTCTGTACCAACTCTTTCACGTTAGCCGCAGTTTCTGAGGACTGTTTTCCAGATGATGCCAGTTTTATTAATGTAGACAGAAAGTTTTTGCATTTCTTCACATTTTCCATAGTTTCCTGATGGAGGACAGGGAGAGGAGAAAGTCAGAGAAAGGAAGAAAAACTTTCTTACACACGATCTCATCGTAAGCTCTGAGAACTAAAATCCTCTTCCAGTTCACCCCTGCAGAGTAGTACCTACATCTGTATGCACGTAAGTGGATGCACCAAAGCTTGTTTAAAAGGCACTCAGTATCTTAAGCAGTAAGTATTATCTTACTGTGGCAGCAGTGGAGGTTGCTGTCGTTCCTTGCACGGTTCTTTGCGCAGTTCCAGTTTGTACAGCCGTTGCTGTCCCCAATGTAGTCGTCTGTGCGGTACCACCCAGAACAATCTGAGGCTGCAGAAAATGCACATGTGAGATCATTGTAATTCAATGTACCTTCAAAGAGAAACAAACCACAGACAGCACACCACCTTTCACAGCCCTTGAGAAAGTTGCGAACCAACTATCTGTTGCAGTGGGAAGAAAGAGCCAGCAGATGGCACAAGACACTACACATTCAAAACCAAAATTCTGAACGTTGATCAAGAACGGCATGATTTTTGGTTACTGAATAAAGAGGGAAAAACACAACCACAAACATACTCTCACACACTAGGGTTTCAAAACAAGTACTCTATTTTAATCAATGTGATGTTCTTTTTGCCTATTCTCTTAAATGCCACTTTCAAAGGGCGGATTTTTGTCAAAAAGGCACAGCTCAGCCAAAAGCCCAGGTCTTATCTTGCTCTATTTGATGCCTAGCTGGACAGAACACTTCTCTACTGCAGCGGACAAGCTGGGAGACCAAAGCAGAAACACCTCTTTTGAAGCATCAACACTGTAAACAAGAACATCTGATGTACACAGTTCATTCACTGACTTCCAACACATTATAATTACTAATGACAGTCCAAACAGTAATTTCTATCAAACTAAAATTAGCTCTCTGAATGTTAACAGATCATTTGTAAACTTGCTCTTTATCCAAAAATCCACAAGAGGAGGCTCTAGCAACTGACTTTCAATGGTATTTTGGGAGATAAGGATTTAATTTCCTTCAGTTTTTGAAGGCAGGATAAATGAGAACTGTGGCACATTCACTGCAGAAAAAATATGCAGATGGAATGATTTTTTTCCACTCAGTGTAACAGCAGTGTAAATGAGGGAGACTCAGTTAGGTAAATTAACTCTTAGATCTGGAAAGATCACGGGCATAAGCAAAGGCTCTCTGAGGGGAAAAAGGTTAAATGGATGCATAACAAAACCTGCATGTTTTAAATGAGAACACTCTAATCCTGTCTACTCAAAAGGAGGAAGAAAGCAAAATGAAACAGATTAGGTGACAGCAATCATACTGTGTCAGTGTTGCTTTGAATTCATGTTGAGAATTTTATACTTTTGTGATTTTAAAATCAAAAAAATAAAAAATCCACAAGGAAGCCTATCATTAACACAGACCAGGATAGAACACAGAACAGACTCCTCTGTTCTAAGAGGATGATTTATCCTTGGGACATGAGAGCCACACAAGCATACAAACCATAGCAGAGACTTCCAAGAGGGAGAAATCTTGGGGCAGGTAAGTCTATCAGTACAACCTTTTTTTGAGATTGTTAATTCTGTGGCAAATAGAAGGCTATGGACCCAATCACAGAACTAACGTCACAGCTCCAAATCCAAATAGTAGTAGTATCACTTTCTTGAAGGAGAAAGTACAGAATTATTTTATCTAAGCTAGCTCTGTGATTATATAAGCTAAAAAAACCTGAACAAGATAAAGATCTGCACATGATTTAGGAAGGGTAATTCAGAAGGTATTTCTTTCATGCACTGAATTAGAGGCATTTCCTGCAGTTGTCAGTTTCAGGCGTGTTTCTCCGTAACCTTAGCAATCGATATAATTCCTTTATGTACTGCACGTCTAAAACTCACTTGCACAACAGGAGGACGCTGTAGCGTTGTGGTGGGTTGCACCGTTGTTTGAGCCTGAGACACTTGCTTGATAATAGTAGTAGGTGTCACTTGTCGTGCAATAATAGGCGTTCCTGGAGCCTTAGGAAAACAAACAAACAGTGTTAGTGCCTTATCTGCTATTTTGTCTCTGGATAGTGGCCATTCTTTCAGGTAGAAAACTCACTCGGGACTATTATAACTTGAAAGGAGGGGTTTTTTACTTAATGCAACTGTGATTGTCTCAGTATACCCTTGGACACATTATTTTAGTCTTACAAAGAATAAGGACACTTTGGGGAAAAACAGTCCTATACATTAACCATACATACAGAGTCTTGAAAGCTCTAAACTCAATGACTTCAAACTCAAAGCCATTCTGCACGGTAGAAACAACTTCCCTTTCGCTGAAGCACTGCTAAACTGTAACAGGTTAGGAACAACACACAATTCCTATGCGATTTGGAAAAGCCTGTGCAGCACCAGTTTAATCAAGCACTTCTAAGTCACTAATATACTTTGCTTTCTGGAGTACTCTTCACAGCAGATTTACAGAGGTGCTTTTTGTTTTTTAAATGCTGCAAATCAGTGAACCAACCTGCACTGTTGATATCTGTACGGGAGGTGCACTGGTAGGTGTAGCAGGACGAGGAGTCAGAGTGTTCTGAGGCTGAGACTGGGCATGTGCCTGAGCTTGCATCTGTGCCAAGGCTTGCTGAGGGATCATCAGCAACTGCCCGTTCTCGCTACGCACAAGGACCATGCCTATAAATTAAATAAATAAATAAATAGGTCAAGACACAGGCTGCCCTTCTGAAATACAAAAGAAAATGTTTTCCCTTTCTTATGCAAGTTGGACCCATGTGGAATTAATGCACTGTTGAAGCACTATAGCTAGCAAAAGGGGGTTAGAACAAAAAAAAAAAAAAAAAAACCAACAACAAAAAAACCACCTGGATGCATTACAATATTTTGAACAGAAGAGCTCAAATCACAGAAATACTTTTTAGTTATCAAACTACTTGGGTATTGGCTGAAGGTATTTCCCATTCCCTGAAATAAAAATTCCATGTGGCTAGAGGCTAAAATTGACAATCTTTTAAAAATTCTTTTTATTCATTCTAAGAAATTAGTTTTATGAAATACACAAACCAAAAGAAAGTTTTGCCATTCAGAAAGACTCCTGTTAGCTTTTCTTAGACAAAAAGTAAACATAGGCTTCATCAGCAAGAACACAATTGTGTAAATTCTAAATTAATTTCCCATAAAAAAATTAGTAATGAAAATTGTTCTAAAAACCATAATCCTTCTCAAGAGCATATACAACAGGCAGCACTGTGCCATGTTACACCCCAAAAGAAAAATAAAACAGACAGAAATGAGACAGTCGTTCCCTGCTCAGTCACTCAGATCAACGCGCTTAAACGCACAGAATAGCATCAGGAAACCAGGTTTTTGCAGGCACATTTTCACATTAGCCCCTTTTTCCTGAAGGTGCAATTGGGATCTGGACCACACGAACTGGCCTTCAAGGGCTCATTCACTCTGCACACCCCAGCCACACCATGGAAGCCTCAGGACTTTATCAGCTCTAAAAAATCCACATAACCGAGAGGCACCAAAGCCAGTTAACATTTCTGAGTGCCCAACTGCAGAAGGAAGTTTCAACATGAAGAGCAAGAGGCACTACTGAAATCAGAAAGTTTTCCTCAAGTATTCCTCAGCAAGCAGACAGCCTACGCGTGCTCACCAAAGAGTTCAGGGAGCTGTTCTAAGTAATTTTAGGCAATGAATAAATTCACATATTCATAAAAGCGACTTCAAATGAAAACAGATTACACTAATTGATCTTCCTTTAATGTTTCCTTAAGTTTTCTGCATTAACACTCTTCAAATGAAGCAAGCAGTCACAGAGAGCCGTTAAGCTAGTTTACATCAAAAAGGGGAACTTCAACAGTGATTTGTTTAGAAGTGTTAAGTCAGGACCACTGTGCGATACGGACATGAGTTAAATCTAGAAACAAATATTTGCAAACTGGCACGGGCAGAAAAAGGCAGGAAAAAAACTGTGGAACTGAAGGCACTTTGTTCAGCTATCAGGTTGGAACCAAATCTTTTCCAAGATGCCCCTGAAAGTAAGGAGTCTTTTCTATATCCTATATAGGGAGATGCACTTTAATTAAAACACATCACCACCACAGCTAACATGAAATCTAAAAACCACGGAAGCGAATACAGAATTTGTTCTTGTTGGTTGCTTATTAGAGCTGCACTACACTCCCCCCATTGGGAGGGAAGTTGCTGATAAAAGATATAAATAATATACACACACAAAGTGTAACAGGCCATGAAGGGCACAAGCAGAGCACCAACCCATCATATAATGAAAATACTAGAGAAGCAAAGGCACATTTTTCCTTTGTATTCTAAAACTTCCATTCTGATAACATTCAATAGATAGCAGTATCATGGTCTCAATCTCCGTAAGGATGCAAATTCCTAATGAACCAGACTAGTAATGACTAGCAGATAGTAGGAGACATCTAGAACTGCAGCAAGTTAGCTCACTTGACATACAACATTAAGTAGAAAAGGATGAAAATCTTTGTTTCCAATCTTGTTTTTGTCAGTGCACAAGAATTGTTACCTTTTCCTAATGAAATAAATTAAAAAAAAACAGATTTAATCTTTTTGCTTTCCTTTTCCTAGAAAGTCTGGTGACATGYACTACAAAATGAAATTCACCATGTTAAAAAAAATGCAAATATCACAGCATTCTTTCCAAGTCCCATTAAAAAAAATGATTAAAATTACAATGAATTAACATTTTTGTTAGAAGTTAGAAGCCTAGGAGAATTCTGAAAGAGCATCATATTGAATCAAATAATTCCTCACATTTCTAAAGGAAGGATTAACAAAACTGAGTTGCACTGGCCTTATGCAAAAGAGATTTCTGCTCTTGACTAAGGCAATGGTCACCTCATGCTGTCTTCTTGRGGAGACCTTACTGGATACCTCCAGTTTTCTAGGGAGCATTTGGATGGGAAAGTTCAGGATGACATAAGGCAGCTGCTTGAGGCTACGTTGTGTGGTATTTATGTATTTACCTCTTGCTGTTTCTATTTCTGTTTGCTAATGGCACTTCCACTTGCGAAGTGTGTTTTGTTTGTYTGCCTTTTTTTGGTTGGGTAGCAAGTAATTTGAAAAACATGTAAAGGAGCTAGAATAAAGAGTGAAGAGCTTTGCACATTAGACATGTCAGAGAAAYAAACACAGACTTTTTTCCCTGCCTTCGCCTTCCTCCTTCCTCTGAAATACAGCACAGTTTGGCAAGACTAAAGAAAAAAAGAACCTTGAAAACTCATTTTGCAGCTTTGCAGACTACACCGATTATCTGTACAGCTCCTGAGACATGCAGGTTTCTTGCTGGAGAACCCAGATGCTCAAAATCACTCCCAAGTAGTTCTCTGTAAAGCCCAATTGGAATATTTACAGGAGCTCATAATGACAAAGTTTCCTGCCTTTACAGAGAGCATCTTCAGGCTATTCATCTGAGGAAATAAGGTCAAAGTAGGGTGGCAAACCATCATCTCAGTGCAAGTGGACCATTTCTGAAGGACTCATGCAGTAGGTGACAATTTGAAAGACCTCACCAGCTACCTACCATGCAGACTGTGCTAAGGAGCAATGTCCATCCTGGGGACACCAGCACACACTTAAGACACTCTTTAAAATCCTAGAAAGATCCTATCAGATGAGGAGCGACAACACTGCTACTTCCAACACATCCTGTCCAGATACTGAACAGAAGTTAGGGATAGATTCAAACCTCCAGGTTTTGTTCATTACCCACAGACTAGCTCGTGGTCTAACCCAAGTGGATTCAGAACCGTTACAGAGAAACCCAGACTTTTAATGGTGGTGGGGAGGTTTTTTGGTACCCGAAAGGTGACAGAAGAGTTAATGGATGGTCTGGAAACTGCAGGTAGGATTCTCTTTTCCAGGCTTCTGGAGAAATTCACTCAAAGCAGAAAAATAACTGAACTTTGTTTTCAGGAGAAAAAAAAATAGGGCCAGGGCAAACTGTCAGGCAGCAAAAATCAGCTTTGAGACACACGTTGCAGTTCAGAAAGGACCAGGCCTGAAAGAACAACTAGAGGATCGACACTTCTGGTGTAGGAGACCAAAGTTCTTGTAAATACCGCAGGAAAAGAGGGCTATTGATTATAAAGTCCACCAATATTTGACAAATCTTCAATCCTATCTAGATTTGTGAGGAAAGTTCATCTGGAAGGTTATCTGAACATCAGTGCAGTTGGTACCTACAGCTCTCAGGGCTATTCAGTTGTGATAAGATGTTACAAGCATTTAACCTAGAGAGAAAAAAAATATTTCATAGTAATCATAAGCAGGCTGTGCCATATTAATACAAGAAAGCTTTTTAATAATATCCTTTCTGCATTGTTGGATGAGATTCTGTTGCAATAAGGTTATGAAGTGGGAACCATGCAGAGCACAAAACTCAYGTCCAAGCCAAGGGGATGAGTCAGTGCTCTTTATATCACTGGTTTGGGCTACAAGGAGACCCTCAAATGACAAAAGTTTTATAGAAGGAGAACATTTCTGAAGGTTTTGCCAAGACAAAGGGGACTAGAAGAGCACTGGACAGAAAGTTGGAGCAAAGAAGAGCTGCCTATGCAAGCTAGAGAGAAACATTCAGTTGRAAAGACTTATTTGCTAGCGTCTATTTTGGCAGAAAAGGAAATAACCTGGCACTGATGTTAATGCTGTCCAACAATCTACCTCTTCTCTTACTGACCTGCCTGTAACAGTTATAATTCCATAGGTAAGGAAAGCACACGTTCCTCCCTCTTTTCCTACTAAAATCTACCAGCTCATTTCATTGCAGATCCCTAAAAATTTCGGTAAGCAAAGTAATATTCCCAAACACAGGACAAATTCCAGCAGATTTAGAACTATCAGGTATGCTAAAGAAGAGCTTCTAAACAAACCAACAGAGATGCAGCAGGTTATGAATGGTACAAACTAYGCACCAGCTCATTATGCAATGAAAATACTGAATAGTTTGCAGGTGACAACAAATGGGAGGAGCTCTGCTACCGAGAAAGGCTTCGAAAAGCTGAACGAACGAGCCAACGGGAATTTCATGAAGTTCCAAAAGGACAATTAGAAAGTCTGAAGCTGGCATGAAATAAATGCCTGCAAAAGCACAGGCTGCAGAGGMCTGGAGTAGCAGCTCTGCAGAGTAGAGCCTTGTGGACACGAGCTGATCATGAGGCAGCACCRCATCCCTGCAGCAGTGAAGATTAACCTCATCCTGGGCTGCATTAGTGTAAGCRTAGCCAGCCTGTTAAGGGAGCAATCTTGTCCCACCACTGTCACCTGTGAAGCTGCATCTGGAAAATTATATCCAGCTTGGGGTTTTCCACTACAAGGGAAACGCTGAAACCCCAAGTGAGCCCAGCACAGGGCCACTAAAATGATTGAGATGTTCAAGGGAGTCAATGGTCAAGATGTTCAAGCAACCTGACTTCAACCTACGTTGAGCAGAGTGGAAGGAGCAAAGATTCCTGGATTCTGCTGGAAGGAGCAAAGATTCCTTCCAGCAGAAAGGGAGTCCAATGGCCCACAAGCCCTCCTGGACCCATCTGCACCCACAACAGTTCCTGGGGGATCCTCCTCCTGCTGCTGGGCACAACTCCTCAGCACAGGGCCACACTCGTCAAGGGTCCTGACACGCAAGT